GAAAGAGGAACAAGTTAGCGGATGGCTGGTACGATTTCTGAAGGGAGCAAATCCAAAGCTACTGGGCCAATTTTTGAGGTTCTGTACAGGAACTGACATTTTATTGCCAGGAAAGCGAATACAAGTCCGTTTTCAGAGTATGTCTGAATTGGCCATGAGGCCCAAATCGAAAACATGCTTTTGCTCACTGATGTTGTCAAAAAATTACAACAGTTTTACTCATTTTTCCTCAAACCTCGAATTCTACTTGTCCAACACGTCGTTCTGGGATCTAAGGGATTAAGTCTGTCTTGTGTATTAAGCCATTGTTGTGTTCAACGTCTTTGAGAAGCAAAGTGTTCAAAATTGTCTTATGACTGGAAACAGACTTAACTTAAAAACTGTCTCGACTGAGACAACTAGCTAAGGATTTGGAATTCCAGCTTTGCAATATGTTTATTCTCGTTTACGTTAACGTAAGGTCTGGAGCTAAACACTTTCATCGAAGCATATCACCTGGAAGACTATTTTAAGAATGAAACTGCAATATGTTAAGTTGAGTTTTACAATCAAGTTCAGAAAGTTCGAGTTTGATCTGAGATCGATAATAGAACATACCAAAGACTCACAGACAGGAAATCAAATTTCACATTATCTGTTAAAGCCATTATGTTACGCACTTTGCAACGAGTGCAACGTTTGGTTGATGTTGTAACACCTTTTTTCTACTCTAAGAATTTATTAAATTACTCTGAAATTTTGTATCTACTTCGTAATCCATATCTATTTTAATTTTCAGGACTTGAATCCTTTTATGATATGGTCACATTACCGGTTTCAGTGCTGGCAAAAAAAACTGATTCTGTTCAAGAGGGCAACAATCTTTTCTGAAATTTGTAAATGAGGGTCCCATGGGGAGGGGGAGGGATCTGAAGAAAGAGGATAACACCCCCTGGGTGCCCGAAAAAACATGATAACCAACAAGTGAGGGTCAACGCGCTTATGTCGCGGAGGTCGATTGGGTAAAGAAATACCAGGGGTCTCACCACTACCTATCCCAGTATCAATTTTAACGTAGCTAATTCTACCTCGTCATCAGTCCGAGTCACTACGGAGTTACATGAGAAGCATGCGCATGCTTGTCTGGTCATTGCAGTGCTGCTATCCGGTCAGTCAACACGGGTGTTACTGCACGGAACAAAATTTTTGGTCTTTACGACAATAACCTTTTACGGTTCATCCTACCTAAATCTCTGCAGTAAGCCTGATACACATAATTGTCAGGAATCGCCGTCTGTGAGTATTTTTTGTTTAGAATTCGCTTCTGTGCCTAACCCTCTTTCCCGCCAGATTAGATACCGCACAATGGCGAGCGATCAGATTGATACTGGCGCTCCTGTGCTTTCTTCTCAGGGCCCACCGGACGCAGATCCGAACCCACCGGGTCAAGATCGAAATATTGAGTCCGCCCTGAGGCAAATCAACACCAACATGGGCACAATGACTCAACTTTTAACCGACGTGTGTGCGCGCCTTCCCACGACCGAGGCACACCGAGCGGCTAGTTCCTCTTGGGGGCACAAGGCACACAGGCCAAAAACGGCGGTCCGATTCCATCTCCTCCGTTGAATCATCAGACAATGAACATGAGCCGCGGCGAAAATCGAGGAGAGAGGACGATTCCCTAAGCCTGCATGCAACAGATGATGACGTTGCACAACTATTTGCCGACCCGGCATCAAATCCCGCAACTGTCACCGACAACACGGATACAGCGGGCGAGGACGAGTTACTAAAAGAACTTGTAACCTCCTTACAAGAGGAAGACACAAAAGGGCCAAAAGTCCAACAACAGCTGGCCGAAATTGCCAACAAAAGATGGGGCAATAAGCTCAATTCGGACAAAATAAATAGCATTCTGGGCAAACACCCGCAGCCAGAAAATTGCGAGGAACTGGGGATCAAACGCGTTAATCCTGAGATCTGGGCGTCCCTAAATGCTGCCAAAAGAAAGGCAGATTTACGACTCGCAAACATGCAGCAGGCCCTGCAAAAAGCCACTTTCTCGATTGTCACGACTTGCGATAAACTTTTGGCCGTAAAATCGCAAATTGAGACAAAGGAAATGGTCACCGACAGTATTGATGCTATCGCTCTTGTCGGACATGTGGTCTCCGAGATCTCATCTATAAGGCGGGAACAGCTCAGGCCATCCTTAAAGCCCGAGTTCCAAACAATTTGCACCAACGACGTGCCACGGTCCTCAAAACTATTGTTTGGCGACAATCTTGCGAAGCAAATTCGTGATGTAAAGGAGACGAGTCGCATTGGTAAAACAGTTGGCGCCTATGCGAAGCAGGACCGAAACAAAAGCCATCGGCGCCACTACCCTTATCAAAGTGGACGTGATGGAAGACACAGTAAGGGTGGCCCCAGGCAGTCTTTTTTGGGGAAAGGCTACCGCTCAACGGGACGCAAAAAACCGTATAACAATCAGAAGAACGAGACCGCGACGACATAA